GTGTTGATTTTTTGTACTTCTTATTTACCGATTACTTTTGGTTTATTTTAGTGGTGTGTGTCATGTATACTTAATAAGACAAAATTAATTTAAAGAAAATTAAACTTCTCTCTCTCTCTCTCTCTCTATATATATATATATATATATATATATATATATATATATATATATATAAGTTGGGATGCTTTCGGGAGTTTTATGAAAGCAGCCCAACTTGGAATTGCAAATTCTACATAAGACAGCTTAGAATACAAACACAAAATTTACTAACAATGAACCCCTAAAAATAGCTAATGACTTGGCCGAAAGCGCTTGAGACAATAATGTCTAGAGGCAGTTTCTACACTCTCTTGGTCCTTATGAAACAAATTCTGTAAACACACTTTCTTTGTTCATCAAATCCAACGGAACTGGTATAAAAGAAGAGTTCCTTCCCAAACATTCAATATATATATATATATGCGCGTGCGCGCGCGCGCGTGTGTGTGTGTATGTGTGTGTGTGTGTGTGTGTATGTGCGCGCGTGTGTGTGTGTGTATGTGTGTGTGTGTGTGTGTGTGTGTGTGTGTGTGTGTGCGCGCGTAATAAAAATATTGCCTTTCACTTTCTGAGATTGAATCTCGTATATTTTGATAAGTAATTTTATTTTATGAACTAACAGCTAAAACAACAACTCGAGGTCGGGACATTGGAGTAAAAGCGATAGGAAGAGAGGTGGTAAAGAGTGGGGAGGGGAAAGATGGAAGGGGAAAAGAGAGAGAATGAGAGAGACGTGAACTTAGTCTCTCTCTCTCTCTCTCAGACATCATTCTATCTCTCTCTTTCTCTCTCTTTCTCTCTCTCTCTTTCTCTCTCTCTCTCTCTCTCTCTCACACACACACACACACAGTTTTTCTCTCTCTCTGAAGCCTGGGTGGAAAGTCGCTGACTGTGGATCTTGGAATGTGATTTAAAAAAAAAACGCTGAGAGGTCATCTTTAATCAGTCTAATTTCCGAGAATATTCTTTATATGGTCGAAGAGAGATAACATTAGAGGTTTTTTGGGGGTTTTTTTTAAAGAAGATCCGCTGTATGAGTGCATATTAGCAAGACCTGCATACTCGGGAACATAATTGTATGCTGATGTACTCATATGTGTACGAGTGCATGGATTTTTGCGACTATTATCGAGTGTGCGGTCGTTGTAATGGATTACGGTTCAGAACGAGAGACTAGCCATCCGATTCGCGCAAATACCCAAGGCGAAGATATAAATCCATCTCTTCTCGCCACCAGATATGGGTTAAATAGTATAGAAAACTTAGCTCTTCATCCTTAGTTGTCAATCAGACTAAAGAAAGAACAACTCAGTATTGTCTGGTTGATTTTACGACATATCAGCTCCCCGTAGGTTATTTAGTGTCGAAATTTATATGACGACACACCCAATAAGGATTAGCCCCGCTAATCATTACGATACATAGAGGCACCTTTCAGTTCATCTAGAGAAATATTTCCCTCTTATTCCCTTCAGGACACAGCTTTCCATAACTTCCTATCCTTTGTGAACCTTTGCTAAGGCTCCCATCCATTTCTCCATCCATTCACGCAAACTCGTGAGGTAAATGTCTCTCTTGTCTTCAGTATGCCCAGTGAGGGTTAAGTTTTCCAAGCTCTTCTTCCTCGTTATGCGTCTAAGGTATTTCAGCCATCTTTTCCTGGGTCTGTATATAAGTCTTTTTTCTGCTGCCATTTTCTTTAAAACTTCGTTGTTGCTTACTCACTCCGTCCTTGGAATTTTCAGTATCTTTCTGTAGAATCACATTTCTGCTATTCTCAGATTTCTCCTCATTCGGGTCAAGATTGTCCAACATTCACTGCGATATAAGAGGACGGATACCACATAGTAATGCAGCACTTTTTTTTCTTTGTTTATAACGAATGTTTTCCATTCCTCGGCAAATTGCTTAGCTTTTGGAATACTTCGCTCTCTAGTTTCATGCATGTTCGAATCTCACTGTTACATTTTGCATCCTCTGTTAAAACATTTCCCAAAATATTTAAACTCCTGCTTGATCTTGACATCTCCAATTTGTAACTCATATCTTAGTCTGTTTCTCTTGCTAATGACCATATTTTCTTTCTTCTTGCACTTCATTGTTAATCCCTTTCTTCTCGCTTCCTGTAATAGCCATGTCTAGGAGGTTCTGTAGTTTTCTTTCCTAGTCAGTCATCAACACAGTTTCATCCGCGTTACTTATATTGTTAAGATTAAGACAAACGATAATTAATGCTGGTAGATTCTCCAGTTCTCTATAGATAGCCTCGGTGTAGAGGTTTATGTTTACTATTTTGTTTCTGTAGGAAATGTTTACCATTTCATTTCTGTAGAAAATGTTTACCATTTCGTTTCTGTAGAAAATGTTTACCATTTCGTTTCTGTAGAAAATGTTTACCATTTCGTTTCTGTAGAAAATGTTTACCATTTTGTTTTTGGAGAAAATATTTGCCATTTTGTTTTATTATTGAAGAAGTGACTACCCATGACAATTATTTTTCTTCGTTACACAGAAATATACAGCATGCATACAAATCGTTTTTCATCATTTCACTCCAAGGCAACAAAGCCACTAAGACGCAAAGGGTAAGTGAATATGAGAGAATACAAGAAAAAGTAAACATTATTAAGAAGCGAGAGAGAGAGAGAGAGCAATAAAGAAACAGAAATTAAGAAGACATACAATAACGATTTCCAGAAATCTTTTGGTATACGTGACCCAGCCATCGAAGACGACGTTGACAAAGGAAAGATGTATGCTTCAAGAGTTCGCTTGCTCGAGCACAACAGTATTGGTAACGTTGTCTCTCCATGTGATGCCGAGGATACGTCCTAGGCAGCAGAGATGGAAGCTTTGCAGGCAATTTTCTTACCTGACGTATGTTGTCCAGGTTTCGCTATCGTAAAACAGTGTATTAAGGGCATAAACCTGGAATACAGCGTTATATATATATATATATATATATATATATATATATATATATATAATATAATAATTTCTTGTTAGTAACAAAAGTACTAAAAAATATAAACAAAGAGAAATAGAACCTACATGAAGTTGGCAAAACTATACCCAAACATGTTATCAAAATATAAAAAAACTTTAATATTAGGTTGGTGCAAAAATAATGACGTAATAATGTCGTTTTTTGACGTATTTTTAACATCAAAAACGACATTATTACGTCATTATTTTTGCACCAACCTAATATTTCGACATCACCTCTCTTGTGTACGCATATCCATTTACATCAACCTCGATATCACTAGTCCGATGAAGCCCTAATGGACGAAACGCGTCTTACAAAAAAGTTTTTTTCCGCATTGTCAATAAATCTTTGAGCCCTGCGTTCTTGAACTATTTTAACCCTTCTGTTTGAGCTCCTGAGTCAAAAATCGCAAATAATTGGTGTGTAATGTTTCACGGTAGATATAAAAATAGTTAAAAGTTCAACAAAAAAATGACTTCATGTCCAGCCACCAGTTGAACGGTGGCTGAAGATGAAGTCATTTTTCTCTACCAGTGTTTAACTGGTGGCTGTGCATTACGTCATTTTTCTCTACCACCGGTAAACCAGTGGTCAGGGCTCAAAGGGTTAATTTTCCTAATACACACACACACACACACACACACACACACACACACACCAAGATATCATATTAGATTATAAACATAATCTGCTTATCCGCCCATAGCTGAGGTCAGTCTTTTTCATGCTTCAACGCAATCTTCAGGTCATAAATATAACATACCTTAAAACTATATATCTACCATATTTTATTATATATATATATATATATATATATATATATATATATATATATATATATGTAAGCAAATATATGGATATAGATCCGACAGTATGAAGAAAAATATACAGAAAAAACAAACAAAAATCTTAATATGCAATTATTCTGTATTAATGTTAATATAATGTCAACGTCGGATGTTTTATGAATATGTCCTGATGATGGTCTAAAAAAAAAGTTACTCCAAAATTCGCTTGAGGATGAAATGGAACTAATGTCTTTAATTTAATTACAAAATTAAATTCTGGGCTTTTAGCTTCCATTTTGAAACATGGTTAGAACTGTGTAGCGAAAAAACCATATTTTAAATCAATTAATTTATATATATATATATATATATATATATATATATATATATATATATATATGGGTGTGTGTGTTCATATACCATCAGCTATGAGTTAATATGCGGGCAGTTTGGACCCTTTTGTCCCTGTAAAAAATTCTATCCTCGATGCAGTAATCCTACCAGTTGCCTTGTTCGTTTTAGCTCGGTGATCTATCGAGGTAGGAGCCACAATCCTGAATAATGAACTCTGTGCGGGCGATCGGATCTCCAGTTTAAAGCAATTAGTACAGGCCGGTGAAGAAATTGCAGAAAACAGAGAAATCATTTTCTCTTGTTTCTTGCTGATGAGGAAGGCAACAACAATTTATATACTAAAACAGAGACATGTCCCTATGAGTCTGTCTGTCTTAATAGATGTTGATGTCGTTATGCTTGTAATTGGTATTTCATCCACCTTTTTTTTCCGCATGAAGTCAGCTCGTGATCTTCAACATTAAGACATCAGGGGATACAGAAGATGCTCGCCTCCCTTTCCAAGTTCCAACCCCCGCTACTATCCGTCTCAACAAGAAGTAAAAATTAAAGGGGGAGAAAAAAAATAACATAAATGTTTTGTTGAAATTACCCAAACTGATCCTAACCAAGTGAGATCTCCAACATGACCAACGTCATATCTGTTCAGTAAGCAAGATAAATTACGAGCTTCAGTGGATAAATAGATTGCTTGACTGTGTGCAAATATGGTGGAAACATTAAATAAACGCCGGTGATAGGGGAGGTTGTTTCAACTTGCATTTCATCGTCTTCACTTAGTTTTTTGATAATCTTTATTGTGCTCCTCTCATTTACAAGGTATAGCCACTCATTAAGAAATAGATAACATACGGATATATATGCATTTATCCATATTTATACACATAAATATATGTGTATATGTATATATATATATATATGTGTGTATGTGTATGTATGCGAATGTTAGTGTGTCACTGTGTCACACTGTTTCAATTAAAGGGACACAACTCTCTCTATATATATGTAATGAAAGCGAATGTCATTGTGTCACTATGTTCCACTGTTTCAATTAAAGGGGCACAACTCTCTATCTCTCTCTCTCTCTCTCTCTCTCTCTCTCTCTATATATATATATATATATATATATATATATATATATATAAATGCGAATGTCAGTGTGTCACTGTGTCACACTGTTTCGATTAAAGGGGCATAACTCACTCTCGCTCTCTTTCTCTCTCTCTCTTTCTCTCTCTCTATATATATAATAAATACGAATGTCAGTGTGTCACTATTTCACACTGTTTCAATTAAAGGGACACAACTATATATATATATATATATATATATATATATATATATATATATAATAAATGCGAATGTCAGTGAGTCACCCTGTTTCAATTAAAGAGACACAACTCGCTAACTTTCAATAGCCCATGTTATAGAAATTTTCGATTCCCAATTTTCATTACTGCGATTGTTTTTCGGCGAGTTTTTTACGTGATTTTTGCGACGAATTTCTTTTGTACGATAACAAATTATATAACTTAGAAATAAATTTGGGAATAATCGAAATTAATTGTGAAATCCAGCGAAAGTCACCCATCAAATAAAAGTAATTGCGTGTATGGAAATTAAGGACCTACGTACA